TGTCTGAGACAAGAATTCTCGTATGAATAGAAGCATTAGGAAAAACAGAAGATCTAAAGAATATATCCTCAATTTGTTGTTCAGTTATGGGGCAGTTTTGCCAAAATAACAGAGAAAAACCTTTCAAGGTATACCCTTGCAGAAAGCAGTGTCTATAGAGGACATGGATGTTCATGCCTATCACATCTAAATTCTGCCTGGTCGTGTGGTAGATGCAGTGATGTACCTCATTTAATATTGCACACAGCGCCTCTTTGCCTCTGTCCTGTCCCTGTTTCAACCTTTCTCTCCTTTGTCCATTCTCTATAATTTAAAATGGTTGTCTACACTGTACATAATTTGATTTTTGATAAGATGAGAGCAGACCTGGCCATATTCAAGCAAAAAACTTTAGTCCAGTCAGTCCTTTTATTGAGGAAGTAAAATAATACTAAAATGTTGCACAACTGGAGACTTAATTAGCTTTTACAGTTCTTGTAAAGAAGACAGTTCCTTGTTAAGTCGCAAATACAGGTGTAATTAAGCCTGTTGTGAAGTTAAATTGGAATTAGCAGCTGTTCTGGTTTGTGTCCGTGTGCGCAGATGTGGAGAGCCATCAGAGGGCCCCTCCTGCCGAGCACTGTGGCCGTGCACAGAGCCACCTGCAGGCAGTGTGCGCACAGGTTGCTCCAGACCTGTGCTTGTTAAGTACAATTTACTGAGATTTCATCATACAGAAAACATCAGAGAAAAAAATTATATACTGGAAAGCATGATTTTTTTAAAAAAGCCTTTGCCTTCATAGGATACACCTTTGATTCTCCATGGGTCTGTAATACTCTGATGCTCCTGTGAAGTGCTTTTTTTATAAAAACCTTTGTAGGAAGAGCCAGCAGGATATTCCAGGAAAACAGCTGACATAATTGAAAAGAACATGCAAAATTTGCTGCATGGAGCAGAAAAATAGTGCTGCTTGGCCTAAAGTATGACCTAAAGTATTCTTGTTTTTTCTCTTGGGTAGAACTGACCTATTTTTAGTTTGTTTGTTTGATTGACTGATTATAAATAAAAATTGATAGAGAACTTCCTTCTCGTGTTACAGTTTCCACTTAATCTCTTTCTTCAATTGCACAGAAACAATAACATGCAAATGTTTGCAAATGACTGCCACAAAACATTTTTGAGCCACCCAGGGACAACGGGCAAAGCTTGTAAAGCTTAGTTTAATTGATGCATGTTTGCTGTTGCTTTGTCAATTCTAAGTCATACTTCTCCCCATTCCAAACATACCCTTCTCAATCTGCTTTGAAATTCCTGCTCTCCACTCTGATAGCAGCAAGTCCTATTACCGAAATTTGTTTTTATTTCAGATACACAACTTTACTAGACACAGAGGCTCTGAGTTGTAGTTGACCAAAATATATGGAAAGTCCGTCTTCAGATTCCCTAATGTATGGATGTAATTGATTGCTGTCTCTCTCAGGAGTTGTGCATGGAAAAGTACACACACTGGCAAGATTCAGTATCATGATTTCATAAAATTTGTGTCAAATACTATCTATCTGAATAAAGTGGAACATAAGAAAAAGGTAACAAAGAACTTTGTAACAGAGCAAGCTGCTGAAATAATGTATTTTACCATAATATTCTGGCCTATATTATTTACCATAAAATTCTGTCCTATTTCACTGGTGTCTATACTTAATTAAATGCAGGATTAAAGTAGATTAGTTTACGTTCAATATTTTTTTACATCAATGGAGCAGAACAAGACAGATACATGAATCCACTTCTTTCAACGTTTAGATTTTAAAAATGTCACTGAACCTGCCATTGCATTTGTGAATAGAGTCAAAAGATAAGGCGGAGCCATTAACTGCTTTAGGAAGAAATTTGTGATACCTGAAGATGTCAAATTTAGTAGAAGTCTTAGAAAACTTTCTTTTCAAAAGATCAGGGGGAAAAAAAGCTGTGTTTTCTGCAAAATAAAGTGGGTTTTCTTACTAACTCCCAATTTTCCTTCTTTACAACACCCTCCTTGCATTTTTTTGGTTTACAGATAAATAAGACCAACAACTGACCATTTCACAGCAGGTTTTTAGGCCTTTTTTTTGCATGAAATCCTTGGAAACTTCAGAGCTTACTTAATATGTAGCCATCTCTAATATGTACTGCAGATAGCTAGCAGTTTCTGAAGTGTATGGTTTGTCCAGGTCCCTCTTGGCCTGACATTCGGTGTTATGAGTAAGAATTATTCTTTAGATTATAGAAATGTCAAAGACGTTAGCTTTTCACTTCTGGATCTGTACTTCTGATATTCAGATCACTTCACTTCAGCTCACAGATAAAAAACCATAGGAGATAGCAAGGTCTGGATAAAGATCTGATGGAGGTGATTTCTGGATATATGATGAATCATAGACTCAGAGGGAAGAATGAATGAACTGGGTATGTTTGATTGAGAGACAAACTTTAAATTTTCAAATGTACAACAGACTTTAGCAAAGGAAGAGATTCTTCATGTCTTCATGTCTCTAATGGGCTGTAAAGAAATAATGGAGAAAAACAATGAAAAATAATAAAGAAAGAATAAATTCCACCAAGGAACATTCAAATTAGGAAAATTTTGTTAAGGGTGAAGTAACCAAACACAATCCTTGGGAGTCCCTTCCAGCTCCAAATATTTTGTGTTTCTGTGATTGTAGACATTGAACTTACCTGGTGTTGTCATGGAAGCTACATCATTAGATTTATTTCCAAACAGGTCAAGAAAACACCTTGAAAGAAAAATAAATGATCCTTAGGGTACTAAATACAGGAGCTAGCTCTCTAAAGCCCCTTTCACCTCCTAAAGTATTCAGAAAGGCTTTCCAGGGAACCAAATTTCCTAGGACCGTGCTGTTGGCTTTTCTTATTTCCTTAACAAGTCATGTAACTAACCATTAGAAACATGTGAAAATCTAACTGTTTCCTTAGGCCTAAATTGTTACACAGAAACAAATGGGAAAGAAAGCTTGGTAGCCCGGTTGGCTTTGCTGGTTGGTGGTGTTTTGGCTTTGGGGTGTTTTTTTGAGGACAGTGGTGTTGGATTCTTTTGGGTGGAGTTTGGGTTTTCTCAGTGGATTGAGTTTATTAGTGATCAATAAAGCACGCTGAAATTGTTTACATCCCACTGGAAATTCCTTTATAAGCCCAGCCTGTGATATGAATAAAACAGGGAATGTTTGTTTCACTCTGCTCTTGGGCCAGCTCTCACGTTCCATGTCTTTAAATGGCCTTTAAGTATTTCTCATCATCATATGTTAAAATTCATCCTTTTCAAACTGGATACCAAAAATTCAAAAATCATATTTTCTTAAATACCAGGTTCTTCAGTATTCTGTGTTGTGAAGTCATTCATTTCAATACAAATTTTTGCACATTATGACAGTTTCCAAAAAATCAGCCCAGCTACTCGTATACTTAGTGTGTGATGGTCAAACAGCATTCTGTGCAATAAGAAGTCCCTAAACAGGTAATAATTGTTCAAACCACCTCTGTACTGGTTGTAGCCTTTGTTTTAAGCCACCTAATCAAGAATATGTTCTTAATGCTACATGCATTTTGATGATGATCGAAGATCTGCCATTCCTGTTTTACAGATTTTGCAATATCCACTCTCTGCAGAGGTAATGTTGAGAATCACTTAGGAAGGAAAGGAGTGTATAAAGCATATAAAGTATATACTCAGATGCTTTCCAAATAATCTGCATTTTAAAATATCAATTTTCTTGGTTTGTCTGCTTTTGTCTTTCAGGCCAAATTTCTAACTAGTAAGTGTTTTAATATGTTTTAAGCCTGGGGAAGGCAGGCTTAAACCTGTCTGCCAATAACAGTCTGAAAAGGATGCATTAAGTTTCTCACTGAAGTGCTGTCTATGTAAGTGTTTCCTGACCTGTAGAATGTCAGCATGGATAGAAACAAGGAAATAAGCTTATATAGAAACAAGGAAATAAGCTTATACATGAAAAGTAGTCTAACTACATCTTTCAACACTGACTGTGAGAATGAGATTTTCATAAAGGTAGTTGCCTTCATGTAGGATGGGTGAAAATTCATTTTAAACAGAAATTGAAGTTGGGTGGTACTTACAAAAATGAATGATGGAAATATGGGCGTTTACAAGTTCTAAATATAGTGGTACCCTTCCTATGAAAACCTTATCTTGTTTGAAAACAAACCAGTGTACAAATTCCATGGGTTTTCTAAACTTGAATGGATTGATCTATTTCCTAACAGAGTTTTTCATTTGTTAAAACTAAGATTGCAGAGTGAATCAATCAGATTAAAAAAAAACAACAAAAAAACCCCAAACATGTGTACTGCTCTTTTAAATGGGAGTTATATCTTAGAAACCTACTGTTTTAAGATAACCAAGTAATTAAAGCAAGATTTCCAAAAATAAGCTGTATCATTTGAAAATTAGTTTTTTACTGGAGATACAATATAGCTTTTGAGGTTTTACAGTTTAAGGTGTGAAGATAATACAATAGTATTACATCATATTATTTTTAATTTATTTGACATTTCTTCAGATTGCAGAGTAATTTCTTAAGCCTTTTAATCCCCAGAAGAGTAAATCTTGTGTACATGGTACCTTAAGACAAAAACTGAGTTTTGTCTACCTGCCATTTTTCTCTTCTAAAAGCTCTCTGCATATAATAAGTTCCTACAAGATCTCATTTTCCTTAGGTTTTGATAACAATTATAAGATATATTTTTCAGTTTACTTTTGTTCTGTTGAAACCAAGAAAGTGACCACAAATAATTGGCAGTTTGTGTGTTCCTGCACTAGTTCTCAACAAATCTTGAGGTCTGAGGAAGCTCCTATAAAACCAAACTGAAAAAAGACTTGGGAGTTGAAGTCCGTTGACACTGTATTTATAGACGGCTTTTTCTTGCTTCACAGGTGAGTAGAGCCAGTTATGACTTTCCAGGTATTTCTGTGTCTACCCAATTAATGGCACTCAGCTAATAGAAGCTCAATTATTATGAGAATCCAAAATTACTTTTTACTGTGTATTCTCTAAACTATTTGTCCAGAGAAGGATTTCATTATCAAAGTTAGACCTATGTAATCACATTTTTTCTGCATTTTGTCTCTTTCATTACATTTTAACTGATAAATCAACACAGTACTCATCTTCACAGATTTTCTTCTGAAGCATGAGATGGTCTGCAGATAAATCATTTTAAGATTTATCTGCAGTGGATTAGAACTTCTTTTTCTGGAAGAGCTCCTTCAGCTGTTGTTCAGTTGTTGCTTCTTTCTGTTGCATCAGCTCCTTGGCTCCTCTGGTCACTCCCCAGCCATCTGGCTTTGACATGCAAGGACAATATGGCCTGCCAGAAGCAGGCTTCAGATTCTCCCAGTATTCTTTTCTTGCCCTAAATAAGGAAAAAGAAACTCAGGGGGTTTTTTCCCAGTACCTCATAATATATTAAAGGAAATGTGACTTAGAAGACAATTGCAAAGGGTCATCTAACTTGTAAAGATGGACATTATATTTATATATAGAAGTATGAATGAAAATATGCAATTAAGTGCTACATGCTTTAAAAGTATCTTTCAGTCTTTGAAAGGAATATTGTAAGCAAGCCACCATTAGGAGTTGATATACAATATTCTCCTTTTCATTGTCATTAATTACATTCACAGGATCTCCTCTACTTCTCCTTCAACCCCTTCCCTGCTCTTAGGTCAGCTTTAATTCTTGGACATTAAACATAAAACATATAATTCTAACCATAAAATCTTTACAGTGATATTTAGAAGCCCATATCAGCTAAGCCAGTGTGCTCTGCGGAGCAATGTAAGCCTTTGCAAAAGGTGTGTTGGTTTCCAGGTCAGATATACATACCTTGCTCTCACCCAGGGTTTAGTATGCATGCTCAGGTTATCACCCCAGCTACCATGTTTCTCAGAAGCTTCTGGCAAAAATCCTCTTTCAGGAGCCAACTCCTCAGCTATTGCTCGGATGTGGTATGGCTCAAATCCACAGCAGCCTCCAATGAAACGAATTCCTAAATCATAGGCCTTTCTTGCATATTTTTGAATGTCCCATCTGGTGGCAATTCTTGGCTCCAGACCTGCAAAGACATTAATATCTTAAGTTTCCAGCATGGTCCATTCAATTTTTATCCATTGTTTTGGTAAGAAATCATGCTGTTGAAACACTTGCACTCTGTTTGCAAAAGTGGTTGTAGATGCAGATGTATGTGTTTGAACTGTCTGACCTAGAATCAGAGATTGAAACTTTTAGAAGGCTAGCTTTTTCTGCAGTGCTCCACTGACCAGCGCTTGTAAGCATGTTTGGCCTGCCAAAACAGCACCTAGTATCTTCTGAGGTGGATCATGTTTCCCATTCTGCAGAGTTCTTAGCTGAAGAATTGGAATACTTTCAATGTTATGGCTACATTTCCTAATAAACAATCAATACCTGGGAAAACTGATTTCCACACACTGATCTGTGAAAGGAGAAAGTATCAGCCTACTGGCACAGGAATAATCCTGGTAATTATTCCTCAGAAATGCTTTATTGCACTTTTTTCCACAATCTGATATTGGCAGCCAGTTGTTTCAGCTGGGATCTTAGCTATTTCTTAGACCAACCCTTAGGTATAATCCCAGTCATGAGCAGCTTGCTGCCTCAAAACACCTCATTCCTTGTGGAAAGCTCTGTGTGTAGGTAAGTTAGAATGCCATCTCTGTTGCAAGTTTTGTTGAGCATTGTGATGGAATAACGAGACCTGAGAGAGTAGACTTGTGGAAATAAGGAGTAAAAAGTGAAAAGCACACCTCAAGGAGCTGGAGGCACAAGAGTGGCATAACTGGAAAGAAAAGAATGGGGACTGAAGAAGAAACTTAAAGAAATGAAAATACAGAAATAAAAAGACAAAAATCCTCCCACTTCTTAATGGATATGCACATCTGCAGGATGTGAACCAGCATGGTTATCAGTTAAGTGCAGCGTCATGTCTGTGCACTGAACACGGCTGGGCAAAGAAGCTGTGGTTGAGGTAGTAAGGCTCCAGCAACAAAGGAGAGTAGGATTGAAGAATGTCCCACTGTCCTGTCCCAAAAATGTCTAACATACAAGAAGTTGATACAAAGCAGATATAGCCTAAGTCCATTTTGTAGTTAAGAATCAGGTTTACAAATAAAAAAGCAGAAGGGAGACAACTAAAGATTCTTATAAAGAAAATTACTGCTCTCAGAGGGAAAGATGAGACAAAGGAAAAGTAGATGGACTAATGTGGCCTGGAAAACTGTGATTAAGCGTTTTAGAAAGCTGTTCAAATAAAAACAAGCTTTTGTACAGTGCTGCAGATGTGATAGAAAGCATCAGAAGCACAAATACATTATTTCTTCTTCTTTCATATATTATTTAAAAGCTAATGCAAAATTTATACAAATGATCAACAGTAAGAATGCATCATTGTGCATTCAACATACACCTGTATAAGCAACTAAGCGTCGGGGGAACAGTATAGGTTGTTTCCCTGTCATCTCCATCACCCTGTCACAATCCATGTGACCTAATGAGATGCATTGATTTGATGGCAGCTGAAGTGGGTAAGCCACAGTCCATCATACTTGAAAACTTGTGACAGTCCAGTGAAGTTCCTAGTGACTGGAGAAAGGGAAACATAACCCACACTTTTAAAAAGGCAGAAAAGGAAATGCCAGAGAAAGAGAGACCAGTCAGTCTTACAATGCCCAGAAAAACCTTAGATCAAATCATCTGAAGCCTGTACTAAGGCACATGGAAAATGAGGATGTGATTGGTGGCAGCCAACATGACTTTACTGAGGGCAAACTGTGCCTACAAATTCAGTGGCCTCCTGTGATGGGGTTACAGCATTGGTAGAGCAGAGTGATGAATGTCACCTTCCTGGACTTCCAGAAAGCATTTGATACTGTGCCACACAACATCCGTGTTTTTAAAGTGGATTCCTTCCCAAAACTGACTAACATTTTATTTATTTTTTTCCAGGTCTGTCAATGCAATACTTTTCTTGGCTTTGTTCAGAATTAAATATCTCTAACTTAACAGTTCTTGATGAAGAAAAACTGTAACATGCTCCTTGATTTGCCCCCTCAATATATCTACCCTTTAGATAATTGGGTATGCTTTCAGTGACCAGGTCATTTCTTTCTAAAATATCGTCCTTATTTAACTGGTGACATTTCAGAGAAATTGCAATAAAACACAAGAGAAAACATAGAAAAATGGAAACAGATCTACAGAAAAATAAATCTTTCTGGCATCTAATTGCTGGAGTTTGTCAATACAACATATTGACAAACTAATGCTTCCCTAGAAACTTAGAACTTGTTGCCCTGTAGAGAGTATATGTACTCTTCAGATATCTAAATATCCCTGTTATTGCCTTCATGAAAATCAGGTAATTTGGTCAGTTTAAAAATGATTTACTGAAGAGATTATCTGCTGTCAAGAAATCAATTACTACTTCGGGGTTTTGAAAACACTCACAGAGCAGGTCTTCACCAATTAATTATTCATGGAAATTCTAAATGCTGAGATGTCATACAGATTGCTTATAGCCCACAAGCCAAGAACCATAACAAACCAGAGTGAATCCTTCCATTCACTTGATTGCTTACTGCATCTGTTTGACTTTTTTTTTTCCCTGCCTGCAATCAGAGGAACTATATGAAGGAATGAAGAGCATAAATGAGTTCCTAACACTTTTAAACATCTTAGATATTTTCAGGACTCAGATGTGTTATTACCATTTAATGAATGCCCCAGGCTTATGCTTTATTCTCTTTCCTTCATTTATGTAAAGAGAGGAATTTAAAGAAAAACAATGAACTTCCTGAAAATCACATCTACTTCTCAGGTTTTTTGCTGCAAATTCCAATTGTGAACGTTTTGGGACCATTTATTTTGATCTTGAAAAGAAGGGTGTATGTTATCTGAAAATGAAAGAAATTTCTAATCATCCTTAAAATGTTTAAGCTGATTTTGCCCTTATGTTATAGGACAAAATACTCACATGAAAATAAGCCCTAAATACACAAGCCTTATATAAATATTAAATGGCTAACTCTCCCAGTTTTTGTAGAGTTTCTCCTGAGCATACATGGAGTTTTCTACTCCAAACTGCTAATTTGTTAGCAATACTAAAGTCCCCTTTCTGGTGTCTCTCTAAAGTCACAGACATTAGACAGTCACACTTACAAGATTTAAATATTATGAGTGCACTAATAATGCTCCTATATCAATTGTACTGCATTGTACATTAAACTCTTACACAAGTAAATGTAGGACTTGTGGGATACATATCACAACCCAGAAAAATGAGGCTTTTTTACTACATTTGCTGCTGCCTTTTGGACTGTTTATAGCAGTCCTGAACAGGGTTCTATAGCACGAGGAAGAATATTTTTAAAATTAATTTAGATTGTGGCATTTTAACTCTTCTCATCATAATTATACATTGAGTTACATGCTGTGATACTACTGAAGTGTTCTCCCTATGTGGATGATCTTTACTCCAGTATTATTTTTATTGATCTGTCTGGAAAATGCCAGGACTAGGATAACTAGGATATGCCAGACAGGATAACTAGGACTCATCATATTGAATAAAAGAACACCTTTCAGCTTCAGCTGTACTAAAAGCTGGAGGCAATAAAAGCCAGGAACAGCCAATAAAGCAACACCACCAACAAAAAATATACCCTTGTCTTACCAAAGGGAAATTCCGGAAGATCAATAAATCCCTGCTTTCCACAATCAGGAGTATGGAAAGCAAGTGGCTGGCACATCAGGTGGGCTTTCAGTTTAGCAGCCTGCAAGCCCTCTTTCATCAGCCTCACAGTTTCAATGGAAGTTTCTGGATCAAAATGGCAGTTGACTCCAACTATAGAAGCACCTAGGAGGAGGAAAGTAACTTCAAGTCACAGCTCCCCAGAAAGTGGGAGATGAAAGTTCCACAGCACTCTAGAAGCAGCGCTTTCCACCTTCACATCAGTGCTATGGAAACAAGGCAGCTGTGCTACAGCCAGGCACAACTCTCCTGAGGTTGATCATGCCATTTACATCTCAGCTGCACTCCTCTTTACCTTTCTAATGATTAATCACATCTTCTACAGCTGTTTTTTCTTCTACCCTCCTACAGTGTTTAATCAGTAAAGTCTGATTATGTAGAGCCACATATGGAAACACGTGGCAGGTTTCTAACACAAGTTCTACCTTTGGATTTCAACTATAACTTGAAAGGAAAAGAGTACTTTGGGATAGATATGTAAACTTGTATATCTTCATCCATCATGCCCCTGATTAATTTCTTCTGCCCTTCCCCTTGTTCCACAGAAAACAGCCTTTCATAGACAATATGATTAATTTTGTCATTCTCTTAATTTTCTCATCTTGAGCTGTGTGCAAAAACAAGAGCAGAGAATCAAAAGCAGCTTTGTGCTTGTGATTCTAGAATTTGGGGATGGGTCTACAATGAAATTTGAGCAGGTTTAGGATTTTGCTGTATTCAGTATCAGTTTTCTATGGCTACTGCTCTTACCCATTTCATAGAGATAATCAAGTATTTCGTAGCTGTATTTCCATATGTTCTAGTAAAGTACACATAAAGACTTTTCTACAGAGTCATAACTCCTATCAGATACAACTGGGAAGCTACCTACTTGGCATACATCTCTATTTATTTAAATAATTAGGAACTTTTTCCATATTTTCAAAGGGCACATTAAAACAAATTCTTACCAGCCTTTACCAGCTGGACAGCACATTGTCCAGGGGACACTCCATGCATGTCTCCTTCTGGACCAATGCACATCGTAGCTGCAACTGGCTTTCCAGATTCTTTTAGAACTTCAACTGCCCAGACAGCCTCTTCAACATGCTCAAAATACTGAAAAAAATTAAAGCTAGGTGATTTTGTTTCTCAGCAAAGAAATATAAAAATTCCTATCCAGACCCCAAATTAACCATCAATACAATGATTTGATAATTTTCTGATTTATACTAGCATAATTCAATTGAGTTTACTGGCCACACAGTTAAAAAATTACTTTTAAAAGTGAGTAAAAATAAATTAAAAATAATGTTACTTTTGTTTCAGAACAAGAATGCCTACAGGGGAGATTAATCAAGGATTAACCCAAGACCTATAGTCAACTAGAAAAGTTGTCTTAGGTTGCTTTCTACGTACTGGAAGAAATAGGGATTAGTCCAGATCCCAGCAACATTTTGTCTTTGTATTCGTACAGAATTTTACTTGACTTAGGTAGGAATGAGGTTCAAAGATCCTATTCTAGAACACCTGCAGACGTTGGTGGGCATTTACAAAAAAATATCTGATACTACTGAGATAATAGCACAGCAGAAAATCTTGAAGGAGGTAGAAACATGTAGGGATACTTCCTAAAATAAGCTAGACATCTTAAAAGTTAACACTGTGCCAGTTGAAAGCACATACTTATTTTTACAGATTTACCTCTGCAATTAAGAAGTCCACATTCTTCTTCATAAAGACTTCCAGTTGTTTTCGAAAGGCTGCTTTAACCTCTGTTTTATCTTTGCAGCTTAAGTAAGATGGTGTTTGACTGACTCCTCCAGCCACTAAAGCATCACCTTCATTAGCCACTTCTCTTGCAATGTCACAAGCAGCTTCATTCACTTTGTGGCACTGTGTGAACATAGAATCTGTTAGTTTTATCTTACCAGAGGTATGCAGAACCCTAGAAGGACAAAAATAGTGAGATGTCATAATGGCTTTTTCATATTTTTGTTAAATTTAAACTAAATGTAATTAAAGTCAAATGGATTTTGAGAGTAATCTTGATTAGGAAGATAAAATTCTTTTAAACAGCAACAAACATTAGAAAAATAATTTCTTGCCTCCTCTAAGTTATCATATTGTCAAATACTACAAAATACATTACCTTTAATAGATCTTACACAAATAGCTACAAAAACCAAATATTTGGTGTGAAGTGGAATTTTCTTTGCTTCTCAGAAAATGAGTTAGTTACACCTAAGCATATGTTTTCATTCTGAAATTTTGAATGGAAAACAAGATATGAAAATTTTACCTTTTCTTTTTTAAAATATATTTTACTGTTCTGATAATTAACACCTCCCACCCCCGATATAATATTCACACAGGGTTATTTAAGACATTTTTTGAAAGAAAGCATTAATTATGTGATATTAAACTTGCCAACTTAAAGAAAGGGAAAAATATTGCTAATTTATCACCAAGACTGGAAGTCATATTGCTTCTGTATGTAAATTGGGATGACCAGAACAGCTTTTCAAAAAGAGGTTAAACTGAGAAAAAAAAAATCTGGGAAAAAGAATCATTATTTGTGGTATTTGAAAAGTATTGATTACAGCAGGTTCTCTGCAGTCCACAGACTATTTAGAAGTCTCTAAGTCCATAAGCTTCTCTCTGCTGAAGTTTTACATGGCTGCCTCAAAAACCCAGCTGATTTTTAAAGTGATTGCTGACAGATTGTCTTCCATTTGCATTTGTGCATGGCTACATCTCTGGGAACTCTGTGAGGTGGAACAATAAATTAGTTAAATCCTGGAGCAACGTGATTCTAGAACTGGCAGGAAATAAATTGAGATGTTTGATGTAATGCAATCCAAATACCAGGTGCTCTCCAGCCTCTATAACTTTGCACATCAGCAAGAATGGAAGCATTGGCTTGTTCCAGGGTTATTGTGTTTCTGGGACTACCACTTCACACATTTCAGTGTTGTAAAAGGTCCAGCATTTCAGATAAATTTGGTCATATGACATTTTGGGATGAACACAATTAAGCCTCAAGTGTTTCCCTAGTGTCCAGATTGTTCTAATTTCTGACTGAGGATATCTTCACAGATACAGCTATTCCTTCCTCCCTAAGCCCTGGAGAGTTTTCTCTAGTTTGCAGAAGATAGAATGTACAGTAGGACCAAAGGAACAGGATCAGAGAAACCATTCAATGCCAAACATTCTAGTATCAAAGGTATTATATAGAAATGTTTGGCTAGGAATTCCACTAGACCTTGAGCCTGTGTCTAGTAAACACACACAGAATCCTACAGTTCCTCTATGTAGGGGGTAAGAAGACACTGACAGGGTACTTCTGCTGATGTAAAAATTACCTTCACACAAGAGGAGGGGAATATTGAGCACCTTCACACAAGAGAAGGGGAATATTGAATACAGTGTATAGCTTGGATTACTTTAGTTGCTACTTAATGAAGATGTGGTTCTAAAAACATTTTGTTCTCATTAGCTGTTCATTATTCTCTAAGATTCTTCACCATTTTTACAGTTCAGTAATTTCTCTGGATTCTAAAACATCTCCATTTTCTCACTAGTTTTGCTCTCTGTGCATTTAGTACTCTCTATAATCTTTGTACCTAAACTCCATAAACTGATCTCCTCAGATAAAAATACAGAAAAATACAATGCAGGCATTCTCCTTCCCCTCTTCATCCTTTCCCAATTTTGTGTTTGATTTTTGTTTTGGTTTGGGGCTTTTGTCACTTCACTTTGTTTTTTTGCTATTTCATACTCTGAAATTCCATCATCTCATTCTCTGGTCCTCAAATATAGCGAAAATGTTAGGACAAACTTGATAATACCTTTGCTAAACCTTTTGAAATTGATCAACTTATTTTGTATCTCCAAAATTGGTTTACTCACACTTATTTTCTCAGCTACATAATTGCCCCTGTTCTCTAGTTTGTCCTCACTGGCATAAAAGGTGAAGGTCTGCAGAACATTGGATCCAGCTCTGAGGAATTCTCGGTGAAGCTGACGAACTGCAAATTAAGAGACAAGGTTATTGGTGTGTTATCCCCAAATCCAGTGTTTGTTGATGTAATGTTATTGCAAAATAAGTGACATTGTGTTTACTAGAAGACCAATTATGAGAAATTAGAAGCAGTACTTGAGTCTGCATAGAATTTCTTTCTTCTCACCATCAAAACATTGGGTAGAAAATTTTCTTCTTCATTCTTTACTGTTAAGAATGACTGAAGATTTCTATATAGTTTAGCTGCAGATTCAGTTTTGCCTGCCACCTTGACAATCCTCTATTTTCTGCAATCCTTCAGATCTCCCAGATGTAGGGCTTGATAAAGCTTTTGTATAGTGATTTAGGAAGGGATAACTGATGTCTGACAAAATAATGTGAAAGCATAACAAGGAACACCAGACAAAAGGCTCTTCAAATGAAAAAGTCATCTTCTCTTAGCTTATATATTACAAAGAAGAAAACAGAAGAGAGGATCAAAGCAACAAATTAAGGGACATGATAATTATATGGAAGATTACAGTGTTTCATTGCCTCCTCTATTCTACATTTTTCAGTTTTCTCCCCTAGCAAAATTTTAAAAGAGTATAGTCAGCCAAAACCAAAGCTCTATCTTGCTAAATACATCCTTACTTAAAAGAAGATTTGTTGCTCCAGAAAAGTGACTCACAGCACAAATCACTCACAATCATCATTATGTCTCCACATGATGATTTTACTACATCAACAACAATCCTTTTAAAGGAAAGGTTACCATTACTTCGAATAGACAAATTTCCTACATTAGGACTTTGGGAAAAGGCTCTGTGATGGTAGTCATGCCTTTCTGGCTGTAAGCAGTATACTTCAATTGCCACAACAGCAACAGAACAGGAACTGTTAATTGATTTTATATATATACCCACAGAATAATAGTTACAATAATTACTAGAATGCTACTGATCATGTAAAACAGAGTTAAATGCTTAATAACTTGTAGCAAATACAGGAGTTCCTTACTTACTGTACGCAAGATACTTATTACCTAGACACACAAGAACACTGCAATTGCTATGGCAGATGTTTAGAAAGGTTTTCCTGAAGTCCTAGTTTATCACAACTCAATGTCTACAGATACAGTTTGTGTCACTAAAAAAATATGCAAGTTTGTCGCGAGAATAAAATTACTCCCGTATTCTGCAACAAATGTAGCTTTCTGCAGCAGAGAAGCTCAAAGAGCATTTTGTGTTGCTAGATTTAATGTGCATACATGCAAGCATGTCTGCTTTCAATGAAGGATCGCTGTAGTGTCCCTTGCTTGTCTCTACTGGTACACTATTTTATTTCTAGTTGCTGCCTTGGGTAACTTCAAAGTGCTTACTTTTTTACTACACAGGTGATTTAACACAGTGCTTCTTTGCCCAGCAGTCACAAAAATCTTTCCAGGAACATAGGTTGTAGCAGAGGTACTGTTCAAAAAGTTTTTGGAATCTGCCTGAATGTCTGGGATCAAATTTCACTTTCACATCTTTATGAAGAGACAAAAAAGTTGTAGTGCTGGGAGTATTCTTTTTCCTACATCACAACAATAGGCCACTAGTGGATCCCAAATAAAAGGACTCTGTGTTTCTAGTGGGTTTTTTTTCATCTTCCTGAATGAGGAAGAGTTGATGAAAACTGGTCAGGAAATAAGAAAAGAAAAAAATCTACAAATATTTTCACAAATGCTCTATGACATTTCAATAGTAGACCATTCCTAGAAGAAGGCCTGGGTTTTGTGTGAATATGAATGGCGACATAAGTAGGAAAATGAAATCTAACACATGTGATTAAGGTACTTCATACCCCAAAATACCAGGTTATGAATAGGAGACATGGGATACACTTTGGGGGAAACAATAATGCTATAACTATCAGCCTGAATCTCATTCAACCTCAAGCAAATAGGCTTTACCAGTAGAATACACTGTTGTTCTTATAAAACCCACAGCACTGAGCAATATCAAAAACCCAAACCACTCTGTAGTTTACTTGTGTGACTTCCAGCACACTTCCTCCAGCATTTCAGAAATGGGAATAAAAGTCACACATGAGGCTAAAACATTATTAATAATTTGATGCATTTTCGGAGTCAGATGTGTAACGCCAATTTTTCATTTAAATCCATCATGAGTTGGACATTACATAAAAGACACAGACACAAGCTGTGAGGAGATAGGAGCAATAAGCACCCATGCCTACAGCTCAGCACAGAGCAATCCCTAGTCTGTCTCAGAAGAAAAATATAGATCTCCTAATTTCTACAATTACCAGTCTGGCAAATCCCCTCTAATACAGTAAATGGCCTTGAACTTTTTTTTTTTTTAAATTCCTTCCTGCCTTCTCAGAACTTCCTTCCTTTTCCTCTCCTTATAAGGACAAGAAGCTCTGGTAGCTGTATGGTTTTTACACCCACTGTGCCTGCCAGTTGCTCCTTGTGTTCTATTACATCTGCTTTCAAAGTAACATGACCCTTGAGCAAGCAGGAGCAAAAGCATGGAGGGAAAGAAGCCCCACTGCACAAAAGGAAATAAGCAGATTTGCTCTGAAGGGTGGATTTATAAATAGCCTATAAAAGACATGTGCAGAGTGGGGAGGGCTTTTGAGGTGCAAAAATACCAAGCAAAGGGGAAAGAAAGAGCATGGGACAAGTGCTATGAACTGTAAAATGGAACATGCAGGGCCAGACAGAGGTAGACGTAGAGAGAAATAGAGAGATGATAGAATGTCTCTTTGGGAGATGAGAGTCAGCAAATTAGGTCATCCATCCTTAAACCTTTCCTGGAGCTCTGCATTATCTAAAGCAGCCCATAACCCTAAATTAGGGATGCTAAGTGACACATAAGTGACATTTGAAGGCTGAGAAATATTAGGCTGAATAAATAGGTGAATTCTACAAAGTGATGTAGCAGAGAGAACTAAGGTATCTCTCCTTCTACTCCTCTTCCTTCTTCTCCTGTATAGCAGAAAAAACTGACTTGGAATAGAAAAGACTTAGAAGAAAGAAATTTTTTCCCCAGGATATTCTGAATTGACTTGTGGGATTAAGCGCACATCATATTATTAGGGCAAATGCTATCTTGTAATGAAGCATGCATAAATAGATAATACCATCTGCTTCTGCACTATTTATGATTAACACTACAGTCTTTACACTGGAAGGCATAAAATAGTTGGTCATTTTCTCTCCGTCCACTTTAAGAGAGTTACTCTGTTAAATGTTTTTCTTTAGGTTCCTATCAGGTTTATCATTCCCCATTTTACAGTGGAGCCAGAAACATTAAATACTCCCATTATGATGTTTATTAAAAATTGCCATTTCTTTGAAAGAATTAATAAAAAAACTATTTTAGATTACAAATATAAATGAATGACTAGAACAAAACAAATCAGATAGTTAACTGCAGAATTCCTTTTCGTAAGGTACTTTAAATGAGAAGCTTTAAATGATCAGCGCAAAAACAGACTGGACAAATCCATGAGAAAGAAATCACTGAACGTTATTAAACACAAATATAACTACATCTGCATGAAAAAGTCCCTGGGATGCAAGTTATTGAAGATTGGGAGAGCATTCTGAAGAGGTATCAGTAGATGTTTGCACTACTCATATTCTTACAGAGCAAACTGATTTTGGCCAGTGTTAGAGCAAATAAAACAGGAAAGATGAGCTGGTTTTAGGCTGTTCTTCATGCAATTCTACAGTGTCAAGGAACACTTCTATTTAAAAATCTACTAAGAGCTCTATATATTTATTACTTAGCCAACCATTACATTGTTTACATTCACTATAGGAATATAATTTCCCAGTAAAACTGACCTGCTTCTGGATGTTCTACAGTTGCTTCAGGAGTCCAAGGCCCAGCTTTTACATATCCCCTCTTTTCAAGAGCAAAGACAAATCCCCCATCTCCGATCACAATTTCTCCAGCGTCCAAGCGTTCTAGAATACCCTGCAGAAAGCATGAGGGTAGGTTCACAATTACAATTTGATGGCTTTTTCCTGTATTTGCAAGGCAGACATAAATATCTGTGAGCTAGCAGAAATATTTTTGCCACAATAATAAAAAGTAATAAATTTCCTTTGTAAAATTCTAATTAAAGAATGGTAGATCTGCTCTTTTGCAGCATAAGGCTTTAATATGCACACATATATTATTTGTAAAACTTCTCATTAGACAGTTATATTGTATTCCAGAGATATTGTTTCCAGAACTGCAAGTCAGTGGTCCAGAGATGTTCCCATGAAAGTAACACGCCATCTCAAATTCTCTGTAAAATACATGAGAAACTTCTTAAAATAAGACACTAGTACCACTGATCTCACTATTAGCTCATCTGCTCTCTAGCTTCCAATGCCACCTTCACAGAGCCTTACCACAAGCAGCTTGTGACTCCAGATGGCAAAACAGGCACCACAGAAAAGTAAGCATGCAACAGTTTCCTATCAAACAAGACACATCTCAGAAAGCTGACTTGCAGTTTCTGACAGTCTTTTCACAGGCCTGGGTTTGCTTACCCAGATTTACAAAACAAAAAATAATCCTGTTGGTTTTGCACAGCCCTGAAATGTTTTAGAGTGCCAAATTACAAACCTTACAAAACCCTATGTAAGATAAGCCTTGCTTCTCTCTTGAACTCCACACTAATGCAAGGAAAATGGCAATTATCTTTTTTGTGAAACTGAAAAACATGAGAAAAAAATACTGGCTTGTCCTAAAATACATTGCATTTTTATTTCTTTAATTGCTTCATTGCCTTGTTGAAAACTTCTAAAAAGTACCTACTATTAGAGTAGGATTGATTTCTACAATTGGATGGCAACCATAACTCCATCTATATTACAAAGTGATTTAATGAAGACTACATATATATATGTAGTGAATAAAGGATAAGAATTAACCAAGGGTAGGTCTGAAATTTCCATCCACAGTTTTCTTCATTTCAACAGAAGAAGTTTGAGGGAGGAGGAAAAAGAAAAGCCTTATGGACATAGAGTTGAGTGTGATTTTCATGCTGAGTGGACATGTTTTTTTTACAGTTACCCTTCAAACTTCAGTTATTATCTTTCTTGATAGTGTCCTTTTCATTAACACAATTCTCTCATGCCATATATCTAACAAAGACAAACCCTTAGGATGCCTCAGAACTGCTGTTTAGGCAGAACAAGAACAAGGCCTTTCCAGCAGTAAGGAGCAGCGTGCCAGCTGCGCCAGTTTCAGTACCATGCACAGCGGGGTGAGGCTCCTTGGAGGCCACAAAGCCTGGCTGAGAGCATCGCCTACTTTGGCTGAGGCACTGGCATTGCAGCAAATGGCAGGACTGGTCTGTACAGTACTGCTGTGCAGAGCTTTGCCAAGCGTTGGCCTGCAAACCTCTGCATCAGGTTCCACTATGGACTTGCCAAAATATTGAGCCCATTGACTTTAAAACTTCAACAAAGTCTGCAAGTTTTTATCTTTGTTTCCACAGAATCAGGGAGAAACAATTTTAGAGTAAATGTCAGCTGGTTTTGTGAAGATTGTGCTTGCAATAAACCTACTTTCATTTATAACAGAATGCCTCAAATGGGGCCAGCAAAAGCTCACTGCTTGAGTCCATGCTTCCTCTGTCTGCCAAAGAATCCTTTGTAAATGAAGCCTGCCTTCAGAAATTTGATATGCAGAGAAGAGGCATGCAGAAGAAATGAAATCTTTAATGTAAAGGCAGCCTCAGTTGTTTTTTAACTGAGCATTGAGTAACAGACACAAAATGACATCACATATAGGTATAATATTTACTATTATATTATGTATTTAAATGTAATACAAGAGAACTTTCTTCTAAAAAGTAACTTCTAGTATTTAATAGCAGTTTTTCTTCATAGTTCTGTTTCGTTTTGAAGTACAAATCTTCATTTTTGGCACACAGAAACAACATAAGCCACGTTCGAATAGACCATGGCACCTTAACATATTGTGATATATTAAGTCTAGTGCCAGGGTATCTAATGGCAGGAGAGATAAATACAAAGCACAAAATACTTAATAAAACCTTAGTTTGAGAGGCTCATGCTGGATTCAAATGGAAATAACCTTTTTGCAGACTTCATTATAGGTCTGCTATCTTCTCTTCATACAATTTTTACTTTATATACTGTGCAAAATACCACCTATTTAACCACCATATAGCTAACCAAAATTCAGCATCAACATTGTTTTGTTCAGAGACCTATTGCTGTGCGCTTATGTCTAATCCAGATCAATATTCTACTGTCAGGTGATCTGGTAGGAGACAAAAAATATGTTTAATTACAAAAAACAGTATATGTAAAAAGCTATCCAAGGCTTCTTTGAGCCGTCTTTTGCTGCTTTACTTTTGCTACTATGAATGAAGTTGCACCACATGGTCCATACAACTATACATGGAAAGCGTGAGTGGAAGTGCCTCTATGAAGATATTCCGACTGCCATCTTTAGGCATGCAACTGTACTGTGTAAGTGAAAATCCTACATGGTCAACCTATAATCCACCTTTTCATCAATAGAGAGAAAAGAAATCCTGAAAAACTATTCACATCTCAAGCCCTAAAGCAAACTCCACCGCTTGTAGGGGGAATTTCTGCTTGATGTTGAAATTAGGTGGTACATGCCAAAATATAAAAAGCAGAACAAATACCCCATACCTTCTTCTTTTATAATCAAGCTACCTGTAGGACCTAGAGCTCATAGACTTCTTCCCATATCTTTCTGCTCTTTTGCTCTACACATAAAAATGAGTAAAACCCATTCTGAGAAAGATGTGCCCTACTAATGGCAATAGTGTCCTTTAAACAGAAGACAGAATACATCATTCTGCTGACCTTGTCAAGCAGCAGCACAGGGTACCAGTTCTGATGTATGTCAGAGAGTTTGACTTAGATATTGCTCATAGCTTTGCCTTAATGGCATGAATTGCTGGTGCCTGGATAACTTTTTCCTGGCTTGTTCCTTTAGCTAAATAGGGGAGCAGTGGGCATGCATACATAGGAGTTTGGGTTGATATTATACAAACACCAGTCATATTAACCAAGGGGTGAGAAATCTGGACCTTTTAAACAGAGCAGGCAGGAGACAGAAACCTCATCCAATGACAGGTTGTCCTTAAAATATTTACTATTTTAATTTACTATTTTAAAGTGTGTTTTAAAGCAAATCCTGCTTGATTTGTGTATCAAATAGTGTTACACTAAATGGTTTTGTACTCTGGTGGCTCCATTCTATGTGTTCAGAGAAACCAAGATTATATGGCCTGTGACTGCGTTAAGATCAAGCTAATTTATCTGTCTCATAACGATGCCGAAATGTCCTTAACGTCTCGACGCTGAACAGGTACAATTACTATGGCTTTATTTTACGTTTTCACAAGATCGCCTTACCTGCGGAGATACCGAGTACCTTAGAGGGAGGTTAACCGGCGAGGGTCGCGCCAGTCAAGAAGCGAATCCCGCGCTCTACGCGGACTCGACCCCGCGGAGGCGGGAGAGGCGACGGGGAGCCCTGCCCGCTGCCGGAGCCCTGCCCGCAGCCAGGCTCCCGCGGCGGGGCTGCTCCCCCGCACCGTCCCGCCAGCCGGGGCAGCGGCCGCCCGCGGCAGCCGGCGGAGGGCACCGCGACGGGGGAAGCAGCGGCCGGCTCTGCGCGAGGGAGGGAAACAGGAGATTTACCCTTTTGCCCTGTTTCGCGGTCTTCCTGATCGGCAGCATCTTCCTCGCACAGGACCGCTGACTGCCTCGACGGCTCGGTGCGACCCGCCGCTCACTCGGTGGGCTCTCCGGCCGCTCGTTTATAGCCCCAGGAGGAGGCGGGACGCGGTGGGCAGCGCTGCGGGCGGTACCCCCACCCCGCCTGGCCCGGCCCGGCCCCTGACTGCCCGGGGCGCTCTGGTTCGGCCGGGGCAGCTCCGCTCCCTCCCGCTGCCCCGCCCGGCCCGAGGTGCGGAGGCGCCCCCCGGCTCCAAGGGGCGGTCCGGCGCCCTCCTCCGGGAGGGCCGGGCTCGGCGGGGCAGGGACGGGACGGGACGGGACGGGAGGCGGCGTAGAGCGGCGCGGAGCCAGCGCTCTCCATCCCTGCTGCGTGTGCAGGATGAGCGCGGTGCTGCGGGGAGCCCTGCGGCGGCTGCGGCCCCCGCGCCGGCCCGGGCCCCTCGGCGCCCAGGGGCGGTGAGTGCGGGCCGGGCCGGGCCGGGCCGGGCCGGGCGGGGGGCGCGGGCAGAGGGACGGTGCCGCTGCTGTCCGGGATGCGCAGAAGGGGTGCTGGTGGCGGGAGCCGGCTCCGGCTGCGGCACCTGTGGCCTGAGGTGCCTCTCTGCGCCTCGCAGTGCTGCGCCAAAGCCGGAGCCAGCCCGGGGTGCGGGGCTGACCTGGTGTAGCAAGGTCCCTTCTGTTGTCTTCTGGGCCATACCAATAAGCAAACAATGACCGGTTTTAACTGGCACTATCAAACATCTGGGTGACCTGTTTAGTTCACTGGGAAGGCGAACCCTGGATTCTTGCCAGGCTCCTGGGCATAGGTTTTAAAAATCTGAAAGGCACATGAGGAGATTTCAAATCCACAGCATAAAAGAACAATAAGAAAAGTCTTTATGCTTGACCTTGATTACCCTGTGCCTCAAAATTCAGTAGAGAAGCTGGTGTAAGTGCCGCACATCTGGCTGCTAAACAGCTTACTGTTAACTTGTAAAAATTAATATGTAATCAGAAAAAAGAACCCGTGCATGTGTGTGGTGCACCAAATACAGAACAGCTGTGGTGTCCTGTGCTCCCACTTATTTTACTTTTAATTTACCACCATTTATTGTATACGCCTGGTGCATGTTCTGCCTGCAACTGCATTTAAAATCTTATAAGATCTCCATTCATAAGACATAAAACTGGTGGCCTTTATTTCTGAGTGGGAGACGTGGGAGACTAGTTATACATTAGAAAGTCTGTTGCCAGAGAAGTTGAAAGTGTACGAGGAGGAGAGATAAAATTGAGTATAGATTAACTGGAGAGAAAGATACTGTTAATTCATGGTACTCTGTACTGCTGCTGTAATAACATGTGCTACCTTGTCTCACATCCAAAAAAATTGCTTCTTAAAAATTTGTGATAAATTTCCACATATAGCTTGCTGCTTGGCTGTCTGTGGATGAGGCAGTAGAGAGGAGGATCACTTAATTTGCAGAAGAATAGGGCTGCTTATGACAGGAGTCCTGGTTTACACTGAACTCAAGTAGTTTTGAAAGTACAGTGTGGAGCAGTCGGTGTGAGCCATTGACAAAAACCTGTTTCTATAATGTTTTGTCTTAAGCAAAGTAGGAGATGCCAACTCTGGGAATAGCTCAGTTGTTTAGAGCATGTTGCAAGTAATTCACCAGGGTTGTGAATTCAGTCTCTCCATGGGCCATTCACTTAGAAGTTGGACTTGATGTTTGCATACATTCCAAAGTCAGAATATTCTGTGAATCTGTGAACATGGCAAAATAGACAGAATATGAAAGTAAGTATCCAGCTTTTTTCTTCATGAACATGTATACTGACTTAGTCTACTGACATTGGTTTTAGAAATTTATTAAGGGGACTTACTATGTAAGTATTTTTAAAGCCTATTTGTTGCACATACTACCGTACTTTGGCAAAGTCAGGTTTTGACATTGTCATGTTATGCATCAGCTTCTTTTTGAGAAATAGGATCTACATGTAAGGGTATATTGGATAAATAATATCTAAAGTTGCAAGTGGCAGCAAGCTTGTTTTGTTGTTTTCTGGTTTTTTGTTTTTCAAATTTTTATTACAGCTGTTTGCCTATATGACGGTCAAACAACATTTACTTTAAAAGTGGATATGAGTGAACAGGTTAGGTCATAAGCTATGTGTGTAAACTCCCAAGTAGAAACCCATGTGTATTATGGTTGAAGCTGTAAACAAAAGAAATGGGGAGAAGTGTAATTGACTTTTTCTAACTGTCTGTAATTTTTTCTTTTTTTTAGTAAAGAAGCCTCATCTCCTTCCTTAGGGAAAGACAGGGCAGACACAGTGATCATCGGAGGTGGTTGTGTTGGTGTGAGTCTAGCCTATCACTTGGCTAAAGCTGGCTTGAAAGATGTTGTTCTTCTAGAAAAATCTGAGCTCACTGCAGGATCTACCTGGCATGCAGTAAGAAATGTTTTGTTCATGTCTCAAATTAACAGTCATTTGTGTATACAGTGGTAGTGGAAGTTTCCTTACCTTTATTCCTTGTCTTTCGTGCCATTGCTGACATTACATAAAATCTTGGAGGAGCAAAGGTAACAAATATACATTCTGGGTTTTTTAAGCCTGCGTATTGTCTGCATTCTAAGGACAAGAACCAAAATACATACATGTAAAAATGTCAGGGTACCAACACCTCCTTTAATAATGGTAATCACATGGTCATACTGGTTCACAATGTGCATTTATGTAATTACATATCTTCTGAATCTACATCTGGAGAGGTAATGTAACAAAATTAAATAAAGCTTGCCACAATAATACAGTAATGGATGCTTTTCCCATTTATTTCCAGCTATTCTTACCTGAAATTGGGAGATTATCTCTGTGTGTAGCAACACAAAAGAGCAGAAACCCAGCAGTTTGATGTCTCTAGATCTACTCTGTTAATACAACAGAGTATTTATGCAATAATTTACATTTCAGAGGACAAATTAATTATATTTTATTTGTATTCTCATACTTCTCCCAGAGAAGGAAGTCTGAAGTGCTTCATCTTAGTGCAGATGTTTTGTGTTCTTTGGGGTTTTTGAGAGAACAATATTAAAAAATGAAATGAAAAAAAAATATCATTGCCTGCAGTGTATAAGTAGTATACTTCATTTCACTTGCTTTCAATAAACAAAGCAAAAGAAACCATGCTGTGTGTAGTAAGAAGAAACAACATTCAGTAATTGTACAATACAACAGTGTGGCAAACAGAGCAATGCCATGTAAAATGTCAGATCATGCATCTTGTGTATTGAATCATAACTATGAAATAGAGGCACAGACTGTATTTTATTTGCTCAATGCATATACAAAACAATATGTTTGTAAAAAACAATAAAAATCCCCTAGTTCTATAAGGAACCAGAATCATGAATGGTGTTGTTACTGAATGTTTCCCGTGTTCTTGTTGTTACACTCACTCACCCTAACTTACTGCTCATAGCAGTATTAAAGCAACCCTTCCTCCAGTACTTTTGCCCAGACTTCTTAGTGACTGCAGCACTGGAGCCCTGAGTGAGGGTCAGTTTCAAAGGTAAGGAGCTGGAGCTCAGCAGAGAAAATGCCTGCACTACCAAAATTGACAGAGACGCCTCATGACACCTCTTAGAAGGAATTTGATGCAATTAACACAGTAAAACCCCTAGTTATAGGCCATGTTAAAATAGATAACTACGTGGTATCTTCTCATTTTCTTCATTGTCTCTTTTCATTGAACTCACTATTAGAGGACTTTGTCTGAAGATGAAAAAGTTGGTCACGTCTGTTTCAGATGAGTAGAAAGATCAAAACTATGACAGTGAGTTCCTTGTTATACCAGATACTGTGTCTTTATCAGTGTTTTCCTCACAAAATACAGAAGACACTAAATGCAGATACTAAATACAGATGACAATTACACATACTCTTAAGACGTGGAATGGCACATAGCACATTGCCTGCAGCCACAAATGTTGAAGGTCTGGTTCAGATGTTGCTGCACTACACCACATTTTACCTCTTAGACGGTCCAGGAAGGTCCTGCCAGAGCTCAGGATCGTGTTTCAGATAGCTAATATTCCTACTAGTGTTGCTGCCAAAACTTTCTCTCACTTCTCAGGTCTGAGATAACTTTGACTGACCTCATGTGTACTATTAAGACAGCACAACAAATATGCACATTTTTATATTACCAAAAGATGTAACAGAGTGAGTTATTACATGTTATATTATATTATACTTTTTCTTGCAACATGCCATTGATTTTGCTGCTGACAGTAAAGCACAGCGCAAGTCAAATAATAACTTGTTACAATTTGGTCACACTTACAAGAAGAGAGAGTTTAGTACATAACAGTGTTAATAACATTTTCCTTCAGAAAACTAATTTAATAATGGCATTAGAATAAAATCTGAAACTGATTGAAATAGAACAAAACTGGTACATGAACTTTTCAGCATTTAAAAATTTCAATGATAGAAATGCTTTAAAATATTTTTGTCAATTCTCATAGCAAAGTTGCCATTCTTTAAATTATGTTTCCAGATCTTGTTTGTGTTCAATAACAGAATCTCTTAGAAAAATAGAGTAAAACCTAGAGAAAAATCTCCTTCAACTGCAAGAATTGTTTATGCTGAAATTTAGGAAAACATGTAGATGCCTTGGGAAAGCAGCTGGGCCAGAGCAAATTCATGACTGAGTTCTAGAGAAAAATGCAGTACACTGGTGACAGAGCAGGAAAAAGCTGAAAATCAGCAATTTAGAAAAGTTACCTGTGTATGTGAAGGGGATGTTAGGAAAGCCAACCCTCAACTAAATATAAGGTTTGTGAGGAAAATGAAAGGCAACAAGAACTGCTTCTTCTCCTGCATTAATAGCAAAAGGCTGAAAAAATGAAAATAAGGGAATGAGGTGAGTAATTCAGTCACAATTTACACCCATAAGGTCTCAGTGCCTTCTTGCCTCTGGTTTAAAGGAGGAGAGTAACTAGAGGCGATGGATGAGGACCAAATCAGGGATTACTG